TATATATATATATATATATATATATATATATATATAACATCTAGGGACAACATGGGTCCTATTGGTCCATCTCGGCTGTTCCTTCCTCTAAACTAAATTAAAATGATTTAAAAAGAAATCTTAAAGCCAGCCCTTATCATTCATATACTTATCAAGCTTTTTCTTAAACTCACTTAAATGTACTGCCTCTAAAACATCTGAAGTCAACACATTTCAAAAGTCAACCACCCTATTAGAAAAATGAAACTATCTTAGTTGAAGATGACTCCTACCTTGCCAAAATTTATACTTGTGTCCCCTAGTCCTACTATTCTCAATGTTAAATATAAAAATAAGTATGCATCAACACTATCAATTCCCTTTACAATTTTTAAACATCAATCAGATCCCCAATAACTCATCTTTTTTTCAAGAGAAAACAATTTGAGAGATTTCAGCCTCTTCTCTTATGACAACCCCCTCCATCCCAGGCACCATTCTAGTAAATCACTTAAATGTATTGCCTCTACAACATCTGAAGTCAACACATTCCAAAAGTCAACCACCCTGTTAGAAAAATGAAACTATCTTAGTTGAAGATGACTCCTACCTTGCCAAAATTTATACTTGTGTCCCCTAGTCCTACTATTCTCAATGTTAAATATAAAAATAAGTATGCATCAACACTATCAATTCCTTTACAATTTTTAAACATCAATCAGATCCCCAATAATTCATCTTTTTTTCAAGAGAAAACAATTTGAGAGATTTCAGCCTCTTCTCTTATGACAACCCCCCTCCATCCCAGGCACCATTCTAGTAACCCTTTCTAACAATTCAATATATATATAACAACTGCTAATCAAAGTGTGTTTGTGTATTAATAAAAAACAACATATGCATGCCTACTTTTAGCAGTTGTATTTTTATTTTGAGTGAAGTTCAACTCATGATCGACAATCGCATTAAAAACTGATATATACCTAAAGGTACATGCAACAGATTCAAACTTTGAAAAGAAAAAATATTTTCAAAAACAAAATTCTCCAAAACAATAAGAAGTTCAAGAACTGCAATAAATGTTTAGCAAACATATGCATAAATTTTAATAAATATATAAAAAATATATTTGTTTTTACTAAACTCAAATATGCCACTACTCTGTTCATTATTACTACTAGTTCAAGGTACTCATTAAGAGATTTATATTTGTATAAAGGACAGTGTTAGATAACATTCGCCTTTATTCTTTCTATAATTACTTCCCTAATGACCTTCTTAATTGCTAATTACATACTCTTCTTTGTGGAAGGTAATAATTGACTCATTTAACTGATTAAGTATTTGTGTCTTTCTTTAAATTCAAAACCAAAATCCTAAAATAAAATAGCTCGTGTACACCTTGAGACAATTTCCAGTTACCATACAAAAAATTACAGTAATCAAACCAGCCAACAACATACACACAATAGATCATCTCTGTAGTATGATTACTACATATATATAAAAAAGCAGACCACAACCCTCATATCTAACAGTTTGAGAAGGTACTTAAAAAATATATATAATTGCACAACAGACTTATGAAATTTCAGTCTAACCTAATAAAAAAGTTAAAAGAATCTTAAACATTTTAATTATACAATTTCATTATTAAAGATCTCAACCAAATTTTTCTAATGACATACTGTAATTTTTTTTTCAATGAACAGCTCCTTCCAGCAAGTATTAAACTTGTTTAAATCAACCACAATACTTCACAGCACTCAGGTGGATCTAAAAACATTGGTTATATCACAGACAATATACTTAATTAAGAATACTATACATTACTGAAGTACATTTTGGATTACTGAACTCCTTACTTTATGAACGGATCTCTGAAAAGCATTTTTATTCTTAATTATTGCAAAAATATAAAAATAAAGTTCTTAGAACACTAAATGATCAACCTTTGTGTTCCTCACAGCAGTATTACAAGTACAG